ATATATATAATTTTATTAAAGGATTGCATAAATGCAAAAGAATTTAAAACTTAGGAAGGAAGCTAATATAAGGAATAGATGCAGCAATTGTTTTCTCCAGGGCCTTTTGATATGTGTATATATATATATATATATATATATATATATATATATATTTATATATATCTGTTAAAGATAGGCTAAGCCTGGGATGAAGCATAGAAGCACTTACTTACCATGGAAAGAAGCAGAAACATTCACATTTGAGGAAATAAACTAGTCTCATCAGTTATTACTTAGTGTCCCTTTTAATATCTAGCACTTAAGTGAAGTGAATTAAATGGATGCATTATCACATAATACAACCGATTGTAAGATATAAGGTTAGGCTCTCTGTTGCTGAATCAGTTTATCTGAGAGTAACATTTACAAAAGGTATGTTTCTTGGCCAAATATGTATTCAAAAAGCATATCATTTCCTCTATGTGGGACTATAGATAGTATTAGAAATAAAGTAATGAACAAACCTTTGTTTAAAAGGAAACAATCCAGCCAAAAAATGGACAGAAGAGCTAACAAGACACTTCGCTAAAGAGGAAATGATCAACAGGAATATGAAAAATATTCAACATCATTTACAGTCAGGATAATGCAAATCAAAACCAAAATGAGATACCACCTCACACTAGTGAGAATGGCACATCTTAAAAGACTGGCAACAACAAATGCTGGCGAGGATGTAGGGAAAAAGGAACTCTCCTACACTGCTGGTGGGAATGTAAACTGTTCCAACCACTATGCAAAGCTGTGTGAAGGACCCTTAACCTACTACAATGTAGCTAACTTATGACTCAGGATTCTACTCCTAGGACTCTTTCCAAAGGTCACAAAAATATTAATTTAAAATGATTCTGCTCTATGTTTATTGCAGCACTATTTACAATAGGTAAGATATGGAAACAATACAAATGCCCAAAAGTGGATGACTGGATCAAGAATATGTGGTGTATTGTCACAACGGAATATTATTCAGCAGTCAAAAGGTAAAATTATGTCATTCACAGCAACATTGATGGAGCTAGAAGGGGTTATGCTCAGTGAAACAAGCCAGAAGGAAAACAAATACCAGAATATAGGGGGACCAAATGAAGGATGAGGAAAAAAATAAATTAGTAGGCAACTATAAATTAGACATTCTTCAGGGGAGGAGGAGGGATTAAAAAAAGGGAGGGAAGAGCACAACTGAATATGGTGATGGTTCAAGGGTGACTTGGTGGTGGAAATTTTCTGGGGACTACACTTGAGGGGAGAAAGCAAACACTGTACAAAAATGGACAATGATGTAATATATACATACATATATATATATATACTATATATATATATATATGTATGTATGAACATATACATGTGTGTATACACACACTTATCTCTGGCAGCCAATAAATACACACACACACACAAGCATCAGGTTAAACAATACACCTTTGTTTAACCCGACATATCCCAGATCTATCTGATCATAGAACTTAGTTTTGTTTTTTTTTTTAAAGCATCACACCTATTTTTATCCCTTGAAATTAGTATTCCTTCTATATGCTTAGGTGAACACAGGTCAAGAATAAGTTAATCTTTTCAGCTCTCATATGTTCACCAAGGAAATGTTTCGAGTAGATGTAGAAAGACTTAGTTTTAAGGGTACAAATGTTTTTTATGGTATATGAGATGATCCCTAGAGGTCATAGTACAATATGGGCAATGAAATCCAATGTCTCTAAAGATGTCAATAGTAATGTGAAAAACAGAGCTCCCATTTCTGCTGTGCCCTTAAAGTTTATGTTCCCCAAATCAGCAGGAATATCCCTCAGAGCACTAAAGCAAATAAGAAATTTCTAAAGAATAAACAAAACCCTTTGGAGATTTTATTATGTAGAGCAGCAGGGAGCATACATCCCAAACTGCCAACTCACTGCATAGGCAGGGTGTGCACTGTTTATTTAAAAGAAAAATTACAACAGAAACCAGAAAAGTTGATAAGGAATACAGCAGAAAGGAGAATTAAATTTGAAAGCCATATGAAGATCAATATGAGCAATATAAATGAGAATAAGAGAGTACAATTAACTTCTATTTTTCCTACTAGAAAATGTAAAATTAGAACACAAAATGTTGGTTTATGTGTTACAGAGAAATTGAATTACATATAATTATTAACTGGTCTATTTAATAATAATTTTGTGACAAAACATCTTGGAGACATTATGCTGAGTGTGGCTAAGTCTGAGAGAAGGACACATACTGTATCATCTTTCTTGTATGTGAAGTCTTCAAAAAACAGAAGCAAAAATGAAAAAAACAGGTTCATAGAGACAGAGAACAGTTATTAGCTGCCAGAGGAAAATAAATGAGTAAATGGGGATACAAACACTTAAAAGATAAAACTACCACTAGTGGAAGCTAAAAATGGACTTTATCAACATTTATAAAAAAATTATGCCTAAAAACACCGAGGAAATAAATGATCCTGGATAAGATTAAATAGTATAAAGATGTATTTCTCCCCCAAATATAAAAGGAACAGTGAAGAACAAGTTCCAAGTCAGTGGATGAACAAACTCCACACATTCCAACAACATTTCCACACCAACAAGATCTCAAGTACCTTGGACTACCGCTCCCAGTATGGCATGCACCAGACTTCCTGAATGGGAGCTCTGGGAAGGACTGAGGTGGATATACATTGATGAGGTGCTAAGGAAGGGAGAACACAGAATTTTTGAAAGGAGACACATGGAAAGGAGACAGAGAAGAGACAGCTCGGGGGAAAGCTGCTCCCTTTCCTTCATAGAGCCAATGGCAGCTGTTACCCTGATTCATGGTGGATTATGTGGCTCATTTTGAAATTTAGGTATTTCCTTCTGTCCCAGCTCTTTGGGACCTGCCTATCCCTTTCTTGTGTTTCCCTGCCAGAAGGCACCATAGACTTGTGGCAATCCTTTGGGCCTTGGCAGACATTCTTCAGGCCATGCCTATTTGGCTGGGCATTTGCCTACAAGGGTAAGGGAAAATATTATTTGAAATCCCTTCTTCTCTCTCTTTATGTGCTCCAATGGTATTAACGATCTTTCATAGTAAGAGTCTGCTTCCTTTGCTTTTGTCTGTAGGTGGCTTGACTCTCTTTTAGAGTAAATACCCCTTAATAGTGCGGGGTCCCTGAGTATCCCCCCGTTTCCTGCTAGCAACATTTGTGTATAACTTTAATGCAATGCAATCAAATGTTTATGTGGACTTCTTATGGACCTTGATATAAAGATACATATTTTTTCTATATGAAGAAATAAATGACAAAAGAAGTTATTTAAATGATATAGGGAAAAATAGGGTAAAAAAAAAAACCCATAAAATTCTAAGATTTACACTGTGTGGCACTGGAATAAGATCTGATATATATGATTTGAATATTGGGTAAGTCACATTGTGAACATAAATCTCAACAGGATAATTATTTAATGAAAGGATGGGAAATTTCCTAATTAAATAAGTAGGAATCAAATTATGTTGTAATTAGATACATAGCAAAAAAGCAAAATCTGGATGACTTTAGTTTATAAATGAAAAAGATGCCTACCTATCTGTTCTATCCTCTGCACTGTAAACAAAGGAGGAGGAAAAAGAAAATATGGGTAAATTTTTGATTGATTCCACAATGTGGGAAGACTTTGAAAGTATAGAATCAATGGAAGAAATATTAAAAATAAAGAAAATATATTTAATGAATAAGTAAAATAAAAATATAAGCAGATATATAGTTACCACAAATATAGCAAATGTGTCATTTTACCAATTTTTGCCTTTAAAAACAATGTAATAATGAACATTGATAAATCTTTTATTTCTTTAAAAGATCTAGTTAGAACTGTAATTATTAGGTCCAATGGTAATGATTTCTAGATTCCTTTATATACATTATATAAAGTACATTTCAGAAATTATGTAGAAATTGTATTCCCCCAAAGTAGTGTTTGACTGTTCCAATTTCATCAGTGTCATTGAAATATAAAAATAAAGAAAAAAAGAAAACTTAAGTAGCTATCATTTAAATCAACATCTAGCTGAATTTTAGTGACCATGAATATATTTACAATGATCCTTTGGTGACCCATACTTCCTCATTTGTGAACTGTTATTCATACTCCTTTCAAAGCATTGCAAAGAAAAACTATTATTCTGATTCTATACAGGTTAATTTTTCTGAAATGCAATCTCCTCAATTCAATGAAAATAACACAGCTGCAGGGAGTTGTATTAAATGAGATAAATTAGTGACATTCAAGATGCTAACCTCAATGATCATATTAAATTGAAAAAATCATGAACTTATTTGTATTTGGATATTAGTCATGATTACTGATTTCAGTTAGTACTTTTGTATTGATTATTTTAAGATGATTTATGTTTTATCATAATTGCCATAACTATTGATAACATTTTTGTAATGAAAAATGTTATCTTAAGAAAATTCTTATTTACTGAGCTTTAGATTTTTAAGCAACTTCATTATTTCTTATGCCTTAACTTTTTTTCTTATTCATCACTAGCTAGATGGGATGGTTATTATACAGTACAAATAGATATATATACACTCTTAAAAATAAATTTTCAGGGAGTCATTAGCTTTGCAAAGAGTAGCTTTGGTACACCAGTGATTTTAAATTTCCCAAATCATCTTTACCTCACACATATATGTGTTAAGTGGTATGATATTCAACCATTTAAAATCTCAAAACTCATATCTTTTGCAATATGTACTTATATTCTATGGAAAGAAAAATGATGTAGATGTAACGAACACACAGAGAAGTTAAATGTTCTATAGTTTCCTATCAACTTACTAACATTTGTGTCATTTTGTAGTTACATATTTAATTTTCAATAAACAACAAATAGACAACAAAATGTATTTCATCACCTCTGAAATGTGCCAGGGTACAGGGAAGATTATAAAAGGGAAAACACTGTACCTTTAGTGTGGCTAATAGCACTAAACTTGAAGGCATTTGTCTCATGGCAGAAGCTGTCCCAGAAATGGTCAATGGTGATATGACTGGGTCTTTCCCGACCTAATAAAAATGTAGAGATATTACACTTTGATATATTTAAGAGAAAAATCATCAACTTAAGATGGAAATAGAAGCACACTTTCCTTTCATATGATATTTCTTGAATAAATGGCTTCCATTTATTTTTGATAAGAGATTTTAGTGGTTTTTTTGAAAGACAAACATTATAAATGATTTTCTCTGTAATACTAAAAAGTAGTATCAAATTGTGGACTATATATTCAGTGGAATACTATGCAACTGTGACAAAGGATGAAGTAGTGGCTTTTGGGAAAAATAGATGGACCTAAGTGAAATGAGACAGAAAGTGAAAGATAATGGATGGTTTCACTTATCTGAAGATTATAAATTACAAAAATACTTACACTGGTGAAGCACAGCAAAAACAATTTTTAGAGAATGAAACACATACCAGTTACCAAAGGGAATGGGGCAGTGGGGTGATGAAAAAGGGGGTAGGAGAAATAAGAGGATAGCACATTAGTATGGGAGCTCTGGTGGATGGTGAGTGAAGCATGTGCACATGTGGGACCATGAAAATGACACCTCAAAGTTGCAGACAAGCAAATGGCTGACAAGTCAATACAAAATTACATTCCCACAGCTTTAATTAAACGGAAATGCATTCTATTATAGTTAAAATGGTGCTTGTGTAAGATCAACTTCTTGGGTATTAGAAAAAGCATTATAAATTATATTTAATTCTCAATGAAAAAGACATAAGCTCTATTGATAGTGAACATATACATTATATCGCATGTATATAGTTCATAAGTAAATACTAATACATTGAAGAGGATACTGAACATTATTTTAATTGATATGTGTGATTTTTAAAATATTTTGACACAATTGTCAAAAGAGTAGTATTTCTTAAAGTGCAGTCTTCTAAACCCCTATGTTGGGATAAATTGAGATGGTAAGGTATTACTTCAGAAATGATGAATCAGAATAAGTGAGTGTAGTCCTGGAAATAAAAAGTTTGGTAACTTCCCAATTATTGCTCACTTAATTTTGAGAGCTACTAAACAAAAGATTAAAAGATTAAAAGGACTCTAAAACACTAAGACTCCCAGATAGTAACTAAAATTAATTATAAGCAAGCTGAGTCTCAAATTACTTGTCTGAAAAGTGTCAATAACATATTTTCACATCTATTTTATCACAGTACAAAAACATTAGCTATTTTCCTTTTATGGTCAGAGAAAACTAACACAAATTATCTAATTTAACTGAGATACAAATAAATTGGTATGTATTTGATACAATCTTTTCATTGCCCACCAAGTTTCACATCTCCCAATCTTGTTTATAGCATTGTATATACTATAAACTGTACAATACATTATGTCATCAGTATCTGAATTCTGGAGGGATTTTGAGAGTGGGGGACTTTTTGCTTACAGATAATTATCTCTTTTCTTATGTATAAAGCTATATATACTCTGCTAATTTACAACGATTACTATATATTTAGCTTAAATATTTATTCCATTCCACTGGTGCTTAGGTAAGCTTCAGCAGGCCTCTGGGGACAAGATTTTCATAAAGTGACTCTAGCATGAAATCAAATGCACTGGGGACAACCTCTCCATGTCCCATAAGTGTGATTAACTTTTAACTATACTACACTGTGTGCTTTATTACTTTACTGCTGGTGAACATATTGTCATAATTAACCTCAAGTCAGTAAAAACTCAACAGAGTAGTTTATTTGCATTTATCAGTTCTCAAAATAGAAGTTGGTATTTGTAAAACTAATATGTTAACTGTCATGCACATTTTTATCACCACTGTTATTCTGTTTTGCTCACCCACAATCCATCAATGACTGATGTGTGGGAAAGAATCCATTTATATTTCAATGTTTGAATGAAATTACTAATTGTGTCTTTACATCTGGGTTAAGTAAAAAGAAATAATCTCAAGATTACAGTCACTTCAGTAGAAAAGTAATCAAAGATGCGACTTTACCTGTGTCAGTCACTACTTCATTTATGAAAACTTTAGATATTTCATCCACGATGATATTTCACATGTAGAATATCAAACAAAACTCACTGTGTATATCTAAATGTGTATATTCCAAAAATGAGGTAGGTTTAAAATGTGCATATGGAGTTTCTAGCACAGAAAAGATACTCAGAACACTAGAATTTCTATGACCTTTTGAGGAATAAATGTTGGGGTATTTTAGTAATATCAAAAGACACTTACACAATCACTAATTTACAGATAAAATTGGAAGAACCTGACTCGACACACAAATCGCTAATTTCTGATTCTTATTTCACAATCTATAAGCTGTGCTTTTAGCAAGACACTGCTCCTCTCATACTTTGCTAATTATATGAAGCTAATGATCTCTAAAGCGTCTACTACTTCTGAAATGCTTTCAATCTATGATAAAATAAATTGGATTAATCATTACAAAATTACATAAGAAAAACAACTTACTTGTTAGTATGATATCGACTAAAACATCTTCTGTAGTGGGATTTCGGAAAGGTATAAGAACAGATGTGTGAAGATGAAGAAACGTGGTTATTCTTTCTACATCCAGAGGCATGGGGTATAGTCCTACTCCACAGAGGCAGAATCGCCATTCCTTAAACTGTTTAAAGAGAAACATTCATCATACATTTATCCTAATTATATACATTTAATTTGCAATACTTAATGTCATGATGATAACATTTTGGCAAATAAGAAAACAATTGTTGCTAATATTTAACATGTAGTTTTATTTTTCCCAAATTCACTCTGAATTTACTAAAAAAAAATCAGTGAATATACTTTAACATCAAAGAGGACAAAAAGACTAATGTTGAAATTTTAAACATATTTAAATGCATACAAGGTAAGTTACAGCAACATAAAAGAGAAATCTTAATGAAAACCTTACAAGTATGCTCAAGATTTTGCAAAAGTCAATTTATCCAACAAAATGAGTAATAAATGTTCTATGAAGTTTCGAAAAGTTATGGGTAAATTTCAAACAAAATTCAGAGTTATCACATGAAGTCCAAGAAGATGAGGCACAGATAGAAATTCCACTGAAAGGAAGTGTGCACACTGCAAGCCCTATTATTCATGCCCCTGGTCTGGTACAGCTTAATTTCTGTTTTCATAGGACGTGGCTCAAAATTAGTGAAGGAGATTGAATGCGACCATTGTTCTTACGCAAGTTTCGTAGACCTATGATGTTCTATTTGAAAATGTTTTATTTCTATTCTTTCAGAATAAAGATTCCTTGAGAGTAGAACTGTCCACCTAATGTTCCAGATGGAGGAAGAGGTCACTCAAGGAAAATCATGAAGTGTCCTACTTTTATAATCTTTCAAACTACCCAGGTGTTCCTAACCCTAAATCCTGATAAAAAGAGGGAAACTTAATTTAAGACCATTTCAAAGTAGGAGAGATTGTGACAGGAAATCCATAAATGCTATCACTGAGTAGGGAAGATTAAAGACAAGTTTTATCTTCATATTATCTTTAAAAGATTGAATTACTTTCATTAAGAGACTCTACTAACTGAAGTTCTTTATATTTTCAATTATGATAGCCTCATTTGATTACATGTAATTCACTGACTGTAACCCAACAACATGGTCCAAGTTAAATGAACAAGCAATTTATGTAAACCATCTACTTTTTTACTCTATTGTAAACTGAGCTTTGGGTGACAGAAACCCACTGGAAATGAGCCAATCTACCAAAACCAGAGAGAAGGTCTGATGACAATATTTGCTGCTTACTACTTCCCTCTTACTCTGTTATGCTCTTGTTGAGAGGAGCACAATGTCAGTTCATGATACTGGTATTTATGAAGACCTAGTGAAATTACACTCTGTCTTCAAAATCTTTACAACTGTAGCCTAAACTTACAATTTTACAGTGCAGAGCTTCTTGCATGAATCCAAACCCCAAACAAATGAAACAAATAATAAACCATAGTTATTTCCTTAAGTTCAGCAAAAAGACATCTTTAGCAGTAGTTAAAGCTTATCCTAAAAGCATTGACATTACTGCATTTTAATTCAGCACACACTCACTATGTGCATCACCAGACATATTTATCAGTGGACTCAAGAGAGCACATAAATCTATATGAAGTTTGCCCTAATGTTTAAAAGTAATTAAAGCAAACTCTTAGATTTAGAAAACTGAACTCTAATAGATTTTTATTTAAAAACTGTCTTCTGGCTCTCACTGCAAGCCTGCCACAGCTGTTTCAGTGCAAGTTCGATGCCCAGCCCTGGAGGTGATCCACATGGCGCAACAGACCTCTCCTGAACTGCCCGCTGCTCCCCTCAACAGTATACTTCATAGATTGGCCTACTCTGCTTCCCTCTTTGTCTCTGATGAATCCTCTCTCTGCCCCTGTACCTCTGGCCGGCACCCCAGTTCTGTATGTATAAATAAATCTTTATAAAAAATTGTCTTTTTTAGATGCCAGCATGCACATGAAGTATACTTTATTTTCAAGTGTTCATTTGCTTAGTACTTTTAGGATGACCTGGTTTTGCTTGATAGGATGTTGACCAGATGAATTAAAAGAGGAAGACCTGAATGACTGATAGATGAAAAGGAAAAATAAAGGGAAGAAAAATCACAAACGTTAGAGCAATATACTGAAAAGCTTAAAAGACCTGGTCCCAGTAGCTGAAAAGGATGAATTATAGGTTCAAGTCTAACCATAGATGATCCTTGGAGATTTGCTGTCACTTGGAATGAGATGCTCCAAGTCACTGTAATCAAGCACCAGTGTAGAAATGATTTACAAAAGATTTGTGTTGATTACTTAATTTATTGAGTTATTCCATGTTTGTAGAGAATTTTATGTTCAGCTAGGCTAGCTAGGATTTTCTAAAGCTATTAAGATGGAGAACTGATAATTGCCTGGGTGATGTGACAGATTGTCTTTGAATAGAAAAAATTTTCACCAGAAATTTAAGCAACTAAATTGTCCTCATTAATTAAGAAAGGGTTCAAACTGCTGTGAAGCAATTATTTAACAGACCTACCTTGTAAAAATTATTTTTATAACAGAAAATAATCCCCATTATATTTTCTCTTCTGATTGAGAAAGATTACTGTTTTTTTTTTCTTTACTATTTTGATCGTCAATCACTATTATTCATTCTTGTTGCTTCAGGTCATGTATGACAGTAATCCTGTAGGTAACTTAATAGATCAAAGTTTATTTCTAAAGGTAAACTATACATTTTGGGGAAGAAGAGGCAATTCAGCCACCCCACACTCCTTGCACTAACATTGTAAACATTATAATAACATTTTTTAAAAAGATTTATTTATTCATACAGAACTGTGGTACAGGCCAGAGATGTGGAGGGTGAGAGGATTCACCAGAGACAGAGCGGGGAGCAGAACAGGCAGATCAACCAAGTACACTGCTGAGGGGAGCAGCGGGCGGGTCAGGAGAGGTCTGCCGCACCATGTGGTCACCTCCGGGGTGGGCAGGTGGGAATCAAACTCAGGCGGGAGTGGCTTAAGCTTCTTAGTGCTGTGCTTTAACCCGCTGCGCCACCAGGGAGGGCCATAGTAACATTTTATTACACTCCGTTCAGATGGTAGGGTGTAACAAGCTTGTTGGTGTCCCCTAATCTATCAAGTACATGCTTCTATTTACTTTTTTCCTCATTGACACTTGAAATAATAAATAATGATAAATGTGAAAAGTTTCAAAAGTTTTTCTTTGGCACTGAGAGCTACAACCATTCAGGTTCTGTTGGTAAGTGTAAAAATAATCATGAAGATGAGATAAAAAGTCTTATGTCCTCAGTTCAAGTTGGGGTTGACTACTTACTAGTTGCTTAATCTTAATTTCTTTGTGTCTGAATTTCCTGATCTGTATAATCGGGTTGATAATACTTTCAAGATAGGCCTGGGATAAAGAATGCATTGAAGGCCCTTCCTGGTGGTGCAGTGGGTTAAAGCACAGCACTAAGAAGCTAAAGCCATTTTAGCATGAGTTCGATCCCCATCCTAGAGGTGACCCACATGGTGCACCAGCTCTCTCCTGACCCGCCCGCTGCTCCCCTAGTCGATCTGCCTGTGTACCTAGTCGATCTGCCTGTTCTGCTCCCCACTCTGTCTCTGGTGAAGCCTCTCACTGTCCCTGCGCCTCTGGCCTATACCCCAGTTCTGTATGAACAAATAAATTTTTAAAAAAATACATTGAGATAATTCTTAAAATGGTACATAGCAAGTTTAGAGTTGCTTAACCACTACATTTTGTTGTTTAAAACATTAGTGTTATTCAGGAACAGTGCAAGACAAAATAGAATGAATACAGCCACAAATATTTGCGAAATAACATTTATTACAGTTTTATACTTTAAGTTCATGAAAATCTGAGTATTAAAACCCAAGTCAGTGGTGGCCAGTGATTTGGAATTTGCATTAACCCACCTATATTTTACACCTGAATTAGCCAAAAGGCTGAGAAGTAATGCCTATAATTTATATTTGGGTGTATAGTTTCCTTCATTCAAGCAATCTAAAACTACAGATTTAAGGACTGCATACACATGATGTATACTGGATTTCAAAAGACTGTGTAATTACTAGTTTACAATATATGGTTTTGATTTATAAATTTATTGACTTTGAAATTGAATGACCTTGACCTGATCCCAGGATACTCCATCATACCTGGCTACAGTAGAAGATGATACAACCTTGATGACCAGTCCTTCCAAGTGCAGAAGGAAAAAAGTAAACAGGTACATTTTTTGTAGAGTAAGGAGCTACAGTGAGCTGTGGAAATTCAGACAGAAAGAGAAACAAGTTAATACATTCGGTTGCATCACCATCTTTGCACATAAGCATATGCTGGCTGATACTTTCGTGAGTGATACGCTGCCATGCACATATTCTCCATCCCCAGTCTGGCTGCTCAGTGAATGTGAGTAAAATGGTTCATGGTAAACAGACAACAATCACAAAGGGACTTACTCTATAAAAGGAAGTCAAGACTCATTCTTAAAGCTGAGTTAGAATCACCAGATAAAAAATATGGATTTTATTTAAGGATCCACAGCACACCAATCATCCTAAGCTAAAGGTCAACTCACTGGGAAATTAATTTGTAGGTGTGATGATATAAAAAGAAATGAACTGATTCTAATCAGAGCTGTAAAATATGCTTCTTTAGTGCATGATGAAGTTTTCCTCTTTGCCCTATGACCTTGAATAATTTGAGTCTGAATGGTGCTCACTTGAGTTATCCCTTTAGGGATTGTCAAAGCATAATATAACAAGGGCCCAGGTTGCTTATGCAATCAAAATGTTATATTGCAGATAAACCAGTAGTTTTCGCTTGTAGCAAAACAAAAAAAGATATGTGGCACATACCTTAGAAGTCAATTATATTTTTTTACTAAAGTATTTTGCCAGATAATTTTAGAAAAATAAAACTGCAGATTGGCAGTGTAGTTCAATCCTTGTCACTCATTAAAAATCTGACTGTTAGCATGAAATACAATAAAAATAATTTTATCTTGAGAACTCCCTGCTCTATATACATGTTTGGTTTATTTACAGAAATTATTTTTGTATCAGACTGACACGCTCTCTGATATGTTTAACGCTACGGGATTATCCATCAGTGCACACTTAAGAACTGTGAATTAATTTCAATAAAATACTAGCAAAAAAAAAATAAAAGGTACATTTCATATAATCTTTCAATTTAACAAATATGAGCCTACTGGCTCCTCCCTTTATACACAAATGCATACATATATGAAGGGACACATCCATTTTGTTGGAAAAACTATGCAATACTACCTAACAAGGATTGTAATTCTCTTCTAGTCCCACTACTCACTAAGCAGATGGTTTAAGTATTTTAGTTACTTTAGCTTCAAATGCATTTTCTAAAAGACATATCAGAAGCATGTAGTGAAGACTGATGTAGTATAAACAGTTTATATTAGTTGGCAACCAACGACTGATGATATTGGTATTAAGATATAAAAGAGACATCATACTGTAAATTTCTTAAATAATTACAAATGAAAAAAGCCTTTATTTATTTAAATACCATACCTATTTAGGAGGGCTTCATGCTTTATTGTGAAGTCTACTTAGGGAAATAATCTACTATAACTGTCATTTTGAAATTTACTTGAAAGAATGGCTTTGGCATTCACAGCATATCTGGTATCATATATTCTAGAAATACAGTAAATGATATATCTTCAGATCATGTTTTGTTACTTGGGGGAGAAAAAAGTGATTGAGGATCACTGGTTGCTTCTAGCTTCTGCCATGAATCAAAGAATGAGAAAAAGAGAGGATCTGTCAGTAATGTCTAGAAGATGAGGAGTGGGTTGGTGGGCAGGAACCCACGAAAGACTGGAAAAGAACTGTCCACTTCAGACCTTCGAAACACAGTATGACTGTTGATTCAAAATCATGAACAGCATGACTGTAAAAACTGATTTACTAGAATGGTCAGCAATAAAGTACAGTACAACCAATTTATTTAGAATCCAGATAATGAGCCTAGATAAATTAAAAAAAAATCTATGGATATAATCATGGCAATGATTTTTTTATAAAGTTGAGGATGTGTGCATATTAATACATACATATATACACACACACATACACACATGGTCTTTTCAAATATTAGACATTTTAAACCTTTTTAGTAATTCAAATAATGAAATGACAGTACTTTATATTGCCCCAAAATTAGAATTGGAAAATACTTTAGTGCTGGTAAATTATTTGGCCTTCTGAATAGACTTCTGAATATACTTACTGGTTTGTTAATGTGCAAGACAAAATTGTCTGGGTTACTGCTCATTCCTTCCAGTTGTAAGGTTTCATGTGTTGGATTGACTAGAGAAATGATCTCAGTGGCATATCTGAAAGGAAAAATAAAGCTAGAAAGTTCATCATAAATTTGTCAATTTTATAAACTTGATGATGTTTATGCATTGACTTGTATCCTCTCAAAAAATATGTCTCATAAAGTGACTATTTGGTTAAAGGCTCATTTCAGTTATAATTAGATAAGATGTGGTTGTACTAGAATAAAAGAGTCCTTAATTCAGTAAGACTGATGCCCTTATTAGAGGACAAAGCAAAGAAACACGAAGTGGCACCCTATGGTAACGGAGGGAGACTGGAGTGGTGCACTGAAAGTCAAGGAACATAAAGAACTATCGGCAAAGGCCAGAAGCCAGAAGAAGCAAAGTAGAATTGCCCCTTACAGGTTTCAGCAGGAGCATGATCCTGCCAAAATCTCGAATTCAAACTTACAGACTTCAGAAGTAGAAGACAATACATTTATGTTGTGTTAAGCCACTCAGTTTGTGTCATCTGTTATTAGCTAGTAGAGCAGTCCACTGCAGTGGTCTCCACTGGCCAATATAGCTAGGAGCAAAATAGTAGAGTTGCTTATTAATTGTTCACCCAGAAAAACTTTCTGAATTGAACTGAATCTCATAGGTCTTGCATTTCACTGCTAGTTTCACCAGTAACTGGAACTGAAAGTTGTAAACTGTAAAGGAGTTATGTTCTTGATGCTCTTCAAATATGGAAGGATTGGATATAACTAACTGATAAATTAAACTACTTTAAAATTAAGGATATAAGTTCATTAAATGATGTCATTAAGAGATTAAAAAGGGGGAACTAACAGTATAAAAAAGGTATTTAATTTACAGGAAAGTCTATATACAAAATATATAAATGAGAATACACAGATGCTGTGAACAGTGAAGGGAATAAATAGAAGAATGAGAATGACATAACTTGAGATTTCCAGCAACTGAAAGTCACATGTTTCTATACTGAAAGAGACCTCAACTACTCAAAAAGTCCAAAAACAGATTCACACTAGTACACAGCATTAAGAATTTTAAGGGGACTAATATAAAGAACTTGCAAATTTACAAAGAGGTTAAAAATCTGGCATAAATCTAGTTAAAAAAGATGCTAAATGGGCCCTCCCTGGTAGCGCAGTGGGTTAAAGCACAGCACTAAGAAGCTAAAGCCACTTCCGCATGAGTTTGATCCCTGCCCTGGAGGTGACCACATGGTGCAGCAGATCTCTCCTGACCCGCCTGCTGCTCCCCTCAGCAGTGTACTCTGTCAGTTGGCCTGTTCTGCTCTCCACTCTGTCTCTGGTGAATCCTCTAACTGCACCTGTACCTCTGGCCTGTACCCCAGTTCTGTATGCAAATAAATAAATCTTTGAAAACAATGTTGCTAATAGTATCAAACATCTTTTAACACTATGTGCCCTAAAATTGTATCAGTATGATTTAGATAAAAAGAAATTAAACTTTAGAAAAACATTCAAAAGTAACAAAACTCTAAAAGAAAGAGAAATGGCTAGCCCATTTTAGTGGAATGAAAAAAAAATCATGCTTGCAAAATTGGTTTCAAACAAATATTTCACATAATAGTCTTAACATTTATTAAAAATTTCATATGGTTTTCATGTACTATTTCTTTTAAATAATAATGGTAGAAACAAGTTGTAAAAAACTGGTAGCAGCTATTACTGGTATCCCACCTATTTCCCCTAGATTTCTACCAGCTCTTCACCCCTATTCCCCAACTTCAACATATGTGCTATTAAATCTTTCATCTGAGAGGCTTCAGATAATCACTCTCAGATCCTAGAGTCTCCTCAACTTTATAGATGACAAAGGTGCCTGAGAGTTTATGCCTCATGCCAAGGAAGCCTATAGTGAGTAGTTAGGGGCGTTGAAAAGCCCAGCATCTTGACATCAAGACAACACAAACTGAGATGTAATTTATGTTCCACAACTACCTTGCAATATCAGATAGTCTGGGGACACACCTACAACCACACCCTTGCTTAACCTTTTCCCTTTTCTCATCCTGCTTCCCCTATTCTATGACTGATTTTCCCCATTTTCTTACTAGATCTACTCCTTCATAAATCACTTGCAGTGATGTTACAGTAACAGATGCTCTGTTACGCAGAGACTCCAATATGCTTTTGTTGGGCTAAGGGAGGGAAATTAGCAAAAGGATGCTAGTTTGCCCATTACAGCACCTACACTTTAAAAGGGGGAATTGTGACTTGGTATCCAATGTACTAAGACCAAAGGCAGTGCCAAACATGTAATAGAAATCCAACCATAAAAAGTCTAATCTCAGTGGGGCATGATATTAACCAAGTGGTGACATGTTTTCACATACCCATTGCTTGCCCGCTCTTTGCCTTCACCAAATTTTAGTCAACCTTTCTCCTTCCTAGAGTTTCCTGGACTCTCTTGTTTCTAAGTCTGAGTAATGGGACAAGTCCCCTTATTGGCTTTCCTGGGAATCAGCTCCCTCTGGTCAGAACCTTTCCTCTCTTGTCAGTCTCCACCGGTCATTTCCCTTCCTGTCCATCACTCCTCCAAGGAGTCCACTTACCTCTTCTGGCTCTTCCTTTACTCTATGAAATGAATGTTTTCTGCTTGATATTCAGATACTTGCAGATTTCTTAAATTAGAGCCTGCTCTCTAATTACAACACTTCCTTTCCAACTATTTAAATGTTTCTTCCCCCCATTCCTCGCAATAATCACGTTGAATAAAAGCCTATCCTTACTATCACTTTTTTTTTTTTTAAGATTTATTTATTTGTCCATACAGAACTGGCGTACAGGCCAGAGGCTCAGGGCCGGCGAGAGGCTTCACCAGAGACAGAGTGGGGAGCAGAACAGGCCGACTCATGAAGGACACTGCTGAGGGGAGCAGCGGGCAGGTCAGGAGAGGTCTGCCATGCCATGTGGTCACCTCCAGGGCAGGCGGGATTCGAACTCATGCAGAAGTGGCTTTAGATTCTCAGTGCTATGCTTTAACCCGCTGCACCACAAGGGAGGGCCCCTTACTATCACTTTTAACCTGACTTTCCTTCACATAAGTCTGCCATGGAGTAATTTAAAAATCAAAATTTTCTTGGAAGGAAAATAGATTCCTAAAAAATGATTTGTCTTATTTAGAAGGATTAAATGCATTATAAAAAATACTCTTATAGATACATATTCTTTTCCCATGAAAGAATTTTATCTATTAAATAGAACTTACTTTCCAAGGTCACATTGTACTTCTGGCATTATAGTTGGTCTTGGTAATTCAGTAGTTAATCTCAATAAATACCAGAACTCTACACACATATCAGGCTGAAAAATAACACTGGTGGAGAGAAATATACAAAATCTTGTCATCAGTTTTAGTTTGCAGAAAATCCCAAATAGGAGATTTCTAATACAATAACTGCTCTATAACACAGTTGGCTTTCACTGTGTGTTTTTAAATTTTTAATTTCTGGTGAGAAATTCACTTCATTGTTAGAATATTAATCTCTATTAGTGCGACTAAATTGATGAAAAATGTTTAAACAGAAGTAATTCAAATGTACATAGGAATGATACCATCCTGCTTTAAAGATTCAATAAATCAAATGTAAAGTATTTAATTGAATATATTCATATTTTCATGTGAAGGTTATCATGAGACACACAGCTCTGGGATACTTCCTTTATAATCAGCCAGTACTTACCTTTGGGGGGACAAAAGAATGTGTGACAGTCTAAAAGTACAACTGGGATTACACATATATTAATATATATGCACGGATATGTGTGTGTGGATACACATGTGTATATGTGTGGATACACAGATACATGTATGTTCATTAAACATGGTTTAATACCCTTAATTTACTTCCTCTATATCCTCAAGGTGTATGATTTTCATTTAACTGAGAATATAAAGTAGTATTCATCAAAAAAAAATTTAAATTTAACTCTCAAGTCTTTATGAATCTTTTTCATTTGGTTCAATTTTTGCATCCAGAAAAATTTGGCTAGTAAAAAGTAAATGCAAGTAGATATATCAGGAGTGATTTAGGAATTATTTAATTTGATGGTTCAACAAATAGTATTTTTGCACTGAAGAAAACAATGTAACTCTAAATTAGTATATTTTATCAACAAATCATATACAACAAAGATAAACTATGAGCAAGTATAAGTTGAATTGTTTAGAATAAAAGAAATATGCAAAAATTGAACCAAATGAAAAAGAAACTATGAGCAAGTATAAGTTGAATTGTTTAGAATAAAAGAAATATTAATCACAAAAACTCAATTTTAAGGGATCATAAAAATTAATGCTGCATTCCTCCCATACCTTTCATCTTTACAGCCGGTAGCCGCTGGAGAATACTGTAAATCATAAGTGAGATGTTCTTGTGGATACAGTACAAGTTCCCTGAGCCCACTGAGGGCAGCACTTGAAAACTGCACAATTATGTGAATACTTTTATCTCTGGGATTAGAGAGAGGTATTTTAATGGAAGTGCTACCCTGGAATTAGAGAACAGGTGCATAATCAGTTTAGTGTCACCACAGAGTCATCTTTTAGTGGAAGCAAATGTATAGACTATTATACAATATAAGGTCATTTGTTTTACTTTCCTTGATTCACTACTCAATGTAGCTCACTTACTTTTAATCTCTTGTTTTCTTTGATTAGTCTTTGTAAATGGTAACTTTTTTGTCAACAACAAAAAACATGTATTCCAAGAAATACATGAAATTAAATGCTAGGGACATTGTAAAAGTCCATTCAAAAAATATTTTTCTTCAGGACCCTATTACTACGAGGGCCATTTACCAATGTTTCTTCCAGTGGAGGTTTTCAAACATGCATAGGAAATCACTTGTAGAAGCTGGTAAACCTTAGATTACTTGCTCCATGTATCAAAAGATTCCATTTGGGAACATTTGGGATGGGGCCTGAAAATTTTGCATTTCTAAACAAGGGGTTAATAATAATAATAATAATAATAATAATAATATCTACTAATAATCCAGAGGACACACTTTAAGTAGCTCTGTAAAACAGCATCGGGGAATAGGGCCAGTATGAACAAATTATGCTAATGAGGACTACCTTCCCTCTGGATTTCTCTCTTCTGTTCTGATTTCTCCTGTTATGACGCCAAGCTGTATCCTCTCAGTCCTGGAAGGCACTCATCAAGTTTCAAGACACTTCCTGATTCTCATTCTGACCCATTTTGGCTAATGACTTATATTTCATCTCATTATAGCCATGGGCTCCAGTACAGTAAGTCATTAACTGGAACAAATGTGTTAGTGGGACTAAGAGAACATATCTCAATCTTAATAATGACCAATTGTCTGCAATGCCTTAGCCTGATGAAATAGAGAATGCTGGACATTCCGGTCACACTGCACAACTTGGTAAGGATGCACTTTCAGACACGAAGCTATTTTTAAATGTATCAAGTTGCATTACCAGAGTGACAAGAAAACCTTGATACTAAGCTGGTGGGGACAGCTAATGTCACTTGTTACATTTAAAAATAGCTTCATGTCCTAAATTACACTTTTAAAATGCAACATTTTGGAGCATCCCTGGTGGTACAGGAGTTAAAGACACAGTGCTGTCCAGCTACTGCCAGCCACTGCAGCGTGAGTTCACCCCTGACCAGCCAGGGAGCTGAGCCCCATAGGGCAGCAGAATTCTCCTCTCTCTGCTGCTCCCCTCAGCAGTGTATTTCAGTAGATCTGCCTATTCTACTCCCCACCCTGTCTTTGGTGAATCCTCTCAACCTCAGGACCTCTGGCCTACACCCCAACTCTTGTATGCATGCATGCATACATTCATAAATAAACAGATAAATAGTAGCTCCAGAACTAAAAACAGGTATACCATATGACCCAGAAATGTCATTTCTGGATATCTATTGGAAGAGCATGAAACCATCTACTCAAGAAATTACATGTTCCACACAGTTTTTTATAGCATGGTATACACTAGTTAGGAGACAGAGAAATGCTAAGTGTTCAGTAATGACACGAAAACCTGACTCCAAAGAGGCTGAATACTCTCAGTGAACATAGGCTACCCTTTTTCATGAAAGTTACTAGGTAAGAACAGCTGTATCAAATGGTAGAAAAACAGTGGCTTAATTTTATCATTTGGTTGCTGGTGCACACATTGTCTGAGTAGGAAAAATTGAATTCACTGAGTATTTGTACTGAAAACTTCATTATTTTCTACTCTCACTGGGTCACAGTAAATAAAGATTATGTTTTTTTGCCCATAAAACCTTAATTGAGTCAATGACAATTCAATATGTACTAGTAGGAAGTATGTTTCACCATATCCACTCCCAGAAGATAATCATGAGTTCATTATAAAAGGATTATTTCTGAGGTACAAAACACACAATATCATCAATTTAAGTAAGGCATATTATTGAGGAAATCTTCAATTTTAATTTTATTCGATCTGAAAACATTGCTAAGTCAATATGCAAACTGTACCAAAGGGTATTTACAAATGTACCACGTAATTCAGAGGAAGTGATAATAGTAATCTGTCTCAGTAATTTTTCTAAATTGAGAAATTTGGTATTCGCAATTCACAGCTCTGAGGAACCTGGGAGATAAGTGCCAACAGAAACACTATTGTCATTCCTCTGTTCCTGCTGCCAGTATGTCACTATGCCTGAAGATGTCACGTCTCACATATTTCTCATCTATAACCCTCTGCCATCTCTCATAAGACATAGAGAATGCACAGGTGCAATCAAGATGAGTTGGAATGTGAATATGGGGGGGGGCAGGGGAAGGATGCACTGATAGACACTGAAGAGCTGTGAAAAAGCCAGAAACTCTTATAGAGTACACAGGTCTGTATAATGTCTGTATTCAGGCACTTCCCATAACCTTGAGGTGGCAGGGGTAGAGGGGAGACTGAACAGCAGTGTCAAATAGAAATATATCTAATTGCAGGGATATCTAGATCCCTAGGTAGTATCTTTCTGTGTAACTTTTTTTAAAATTTATTTATGCATAAATAACAGAACTGCGGTACAGGCCGGAGGTGTGGTGGGTGAGAGGATTCACCAGAGACAGAGTGGGGAGCAGAGAAGGCAGATGGACTGAAATACAGTGCTGAGGGGAGCAGTGGGCCAGTCGGGGAGGTCTGCCAAGCCATGTGGGTCAGCCCCCTAGCTAGGGATCAAACTCTTGCTGCAGTGGTTTCTGAGAGATTCACAGTGTGTTGCTTTAACCTGTTGCAGCACCAGGGAGAGGTCTTTAGGAAAGGTTTCCAAACTCTCCCTCTCTCTGTCTCTCTCACTGATACATATGGATACATATGGATCTATTGCCTCTTTCTGTATATCAATTATATGTTTATACACATGTATCTCGAAGCACTATAGATTATAATTTAACATAATTTGGCCATGATATATTTTCAAGAAAATACCCTGTTTAAAAAAATTTTTACTTCTCAAAATAAATTCCATGTAGAATGCTGATTTTACTATCTGAAGGAAGGAAAATTTCAGTATCATGTAAAATACCAACGATACAGAAAAAAAGCTATAAATATATGAAGAAAAAAGTATGTTACAAAATGAATATTTCAAAATCCTTCACCATTCAAAGTTGAGAGTTATAAAACTCAATTTTCTATCAGCATTTTCCAAAAGAGATAAAAGCTCTCTTCAAATAAACAGGCATGTTATATATCATTTAATGAAAAAATATAATACTTGTGTATACCTGCTTTCAGAATTGCATCTCTTTTTGGCTAATTTGGGCTGCATATTTCTATTCATCTCTATCCCAATTTGAAACATCTATTTAACAAGGAAGCCAATGTTTCCTATCTATTTATTACTGAGGTGGCATCAATTGACAACACTGATTGTGATTGAGAGGTACAGAATGACATGCCCCGAGTGGTTGCCAACACACCACACATACCACCAGGCACCTGAATTTCCTCCACTACAGGTCCCATTTTTCTCTCCCCCCATACTCCCCCATATTCCTCTTGTAGCCTCAATTCTATAGTCAGATTTCTAGGGCTTGTTACTGATTTGTTTTTATCTAACCCTTTGTTTTGTTTCTCTACTACTCAATTGTAAAAATAGGTCAACTCTTGACTGTTGCAACAACATAGATCTGGGGGTGGGGAATGGGGTAAGCGAAATAAGTCAGGAGAAAGATGCAAAATAAAGAGATGACTGTTAATTCAGTAATGATTTCCAACAGTAAGTGGTTTCATAACTAAAGCTATATTATTTTAAAATAACTTTTAAGATACATTTTATTCTACAGTTGATAACAGGGTCACAGAAATAGGATATTGTCATTGAGTGAAATGATCTGATTGTTAAAATATTAAATTATGTTCTACTTTGATAAGAATGTTTTTACAAGCTGCCCTTGAGCGCATTTCTATAAATTAACCATTTATTTTCTATGTCTCAATGGAGATTTGCTCAGAAATTAGATTGGCAAATGATTGATTTATAGACTTAAAGTGTCTAGTCTTTCCTCTTTTCACTTTGTTGGAAAGGAAGTTCAAGAGTCTAAATAATCAATTCTAGGTAAAAAGAAATCCAACTGCATATTGAAAAGTAAAAATAAACTTATCAATTTAAATATTTGAATACTAACAAAAGGAAATTAAATATAATTGAAACACAATTAACAGCAATTATTATTGTTCTCTGTTTCGTTTAAACCAAAACTCTTATGTTGGATTTTATTAAGTAATCCCGGACATAGATGTAGCAGTACTTTATTAATTAACATGAGTATACCCTATCCTTAACGTGATTTAAAAAATGGGCAGGGGAATGTGAATGCACTTCTCCAAAGTAGATAAAGAGACAGCCATATGCACCTGAAGAGATATTCATCGTTTATTTTTATTAGGGAAATGCAACCAAAACAAGATTACTGCACACCTGAGAGAATGAACACAAACAATAGTGTTGGGTAGCATATGAAGAGCATGGAAGTCTTTATACGCAGTTGGTGGAAGTGCAAATTGGTGCATTCACTATGGAAATCAGCATAGTAATTCCAAATAAATTTTAAAATAGAAATTTCATGAGATCCAATTATTCCACTTCTGAGTATTTACCAAAAAAAAATCAAGAACAGAAATATGAAGAGATGCAGGAATCCCACATTTATTGCAGCACTATTCATTATTCCCAATGGAGGTAAGCAATTGACAGATGATTGGATAAAGAAGGGGCAGTATATATGCACAGAATTCTACTCGGCAATACAAAAGATGAAATCCTGCCATGAGAGACAACATGGATAGACCTAGAAGGTATTATGTTTACTTAAATAAGTCAGGTGGAAAAAAGGTGTGCAGATGATTCATAATGAAGCACACCTGAAATTTATGCATTCTAATGCAAAGTCACTATAGCAATTTTTTTAAAAATAAGACTATCTTCTTAGTAACTATTATGTAAAACCTCAAATCTTTGCAATTGTTCTAAATATATTCAAAGTTAAAGGCCTTTCTCTACAAACCAGGAAGAATTGATACTGAAAGCCTAGAATAATCCTGCTTTTATCCTATGGGCAAGAACAAGCATACAGACTAAGTTTAGGTTTGTTAGAGTAACTCATAAAGTATGCAAGTAGAGTGCTAATCACTGCAGCCACTGTAAGACAATGAAAAGATATTTTCCATAAGCATGTAAGTTCACATTACTAAATTTAAAAGTAAAATTGTTATAACCTAAATAATTTATCCCAATATACTCATTAGTAGTGGCTATATTTTAGAGATACCAACTGAAGTGCACAATGAAAGCTCTGTTTGTAAAAACATGAGTCTATGAACACTTAGTGGTACTTACCAGAGCCTTGCATCTCATTTCTATAACAGTTACAGGTGGTCCGGGAGAGCTATGGATCTCAAGATAATACCAGACTCTTAAATTGCTAACAGCCTCAACTGAAAACAAACAAACAAAAAAGCACCACTACTTAAAAATGACTCCAGAATAATTATACTTAACAAAAATTTTGGAGACACATGAACAGATACCATTTTCAAACTGCGTTTCATGAATTCAGTTATCAAAAGCACTGAGGGGTGAGTGAGAAGCTGATTTCATTATAGTCTTTGAGTGACAAAGGAAGCCACATCCTGCAGGGTCATGAAAATGGCCTGTGAAAGGTCCTGACTCCATGGCTGATCCAGAAATTCATTAAATTCCTCATTAAAGAATTTGTATAAGACTTATTTCTATTTATTTATGAATACAAAAACTGGGTGGGGGGTAAGCCTGAGGTGTGGGGGGTGAGAAGATTCACCAAAGACAGAATGGGGAGCAGAACAGCAGATCTGATGAAATACACTGCTGAAGGGAGCAGCAGGTGAGACAGGAGAGGTCTGC